GTGGGAAGAATGGTCAGCTGAACGACTCCTGTACTGTGCTCTCGGCTGGGACATGCACCAATAGGGAATGTGCAAAAGGATTTCTGGCTCTAGAACTTGCCTTCTTGCGCCCCGTTTTGCCTTCTTCAGCTAGCTTTCTTCTTGTGTTAGTGTCGTGCACTTGTTCACTTAGTATCATGGCTCTGATACACTCGATCGACATCAATTCACGTAAGCGTTCAAAGTCTTCATGATGGTGGCCCGCGGCACAGCGCCGACCACCCTGTCAACTGCCTTGCCGTCACGAAACAGCACACAGGTGGGTATGCTCCTAATCCTGTACTCTATCGCTACACCAGGACTGCTGTCTATGCACACACGATACACATCGACTTGCCCCGCCAGCTCGTCGCTGAGGTCTTCCAGCACACTCTCGGCAAGCTTACACGGCCCGCACCTGATGACACAACACAGTCACAACCTGTGTCCATTTTTCCATCTCGTTCGAACCACGAAGCGCTGAAGAACACCAGCTGAGTGACAGCATTCAGTAATCACTGAGGTGTGTTGGTTACGGGAGGCTCTTATGCGTGAGCTTACCACGGTCTTGCTGCCGCTCAGAACTGCAGACGAGAACGTGTGATCATCAACATCGGTCAGGGCCCTCTTGGCTGGGGGGTGTGTGTCCGACACTGCAACTGCATCATCAGACAGAGCCGCCTGGGCAGCTCGTCGTGATATCTGCCGCCTCAGGAGGAGCCGCCTTGACTCATCGCATCGTGAATAATCACACCGGCGGGAGATGGAGAGCGAACTCCTGTCGCGTAGAACGCCACCTGAATGTGTGAAGGCTGCAGATGGCAACAGCGACCAAGATGCTGACAGCAGAAGGAAGAAATGCCGAATGAAACGATGAGATCTTGGGGATGCTCGCGCCGACGAATATGGCATCTCCATTCTCCCCCAGCGTTTCAGGCAGCACCCCGCAGGCGACCTGGGGCCTTAGGGTAGCGTGAAACACGTTGCGAGCTTCTCTCAACCCTAAACCCTAGACCCTAGACATCGGCGTCTGTGTCTTCAACACAAGCAAACGACGGGGAAGGCCAAACAGTTCTCTACTGCCTTTTTTCATCGTTTCGCATCGGTCTTGATATCTCCCAACGTTTACAGAGATGGCACCGTGTGATATTCCGGTCTGCCTGCTCGAGGAGGTGGCCAAGGATGTGCCCGAGCTCAGGAAGGAGCTCTCGCGGACGCTGGAAGAGCTCCGACAAAACAGCAACGAGGGTGAGTGAGAGAGATTACATGTCGGCACCACATACTGGCACACACCGACACAGGGCTTGTTCCGTGTGCGTCTTTCAGGCGGCGGTGTGGTCGTCCGTGCTACCTCCCCCATCAATCGCCTCCATCGCACCATCTCCAACGATGGTGAGGAGAGAGAAGGCCGATGACACCGGTCACCTCACCACCCTGTGTTGCGTTCGTGCAGCTCTCTCGCCCGCCCAGACGGCCTCGAGCACGACCCAGGGCGCCTCCGTCACGTCCGCCTCCCCCACCTCCTCACCCGTGGCATCCGTCGTGGACCCCCGCACCCCGCCCGTCACCGACCTGGCCACTCTGCAGCGTCTGGCTCAGGCGCTGGTGGGCCGCTGGGTGGTGGTCATCAAGCGATCGGACCCGTTCGAGGAGCTATTCAAGGCGCTGGGGATAGCGTGGATGAAGCGCAAGGTCATGAACAGCGCGGTGTTCCCCATCTCGATCGACTTCAAGAAGGACGACGCCCGCTTCCTGCACATCATCGCCCACCTGCCGGTGGTCAGCGAGCGGCTCATGGTGTGGCGCCTCGACGGCGAGACCTTCCCCTGCGATGACCCCGACTGCGGCGTATGGACCGCCAAATGCCAGGCGGGCCCCTACCCCATCGACGGCTCTGAACGACCACACATGGCCCTCCAGAATGTGCGCGAGCACGACAAGCTGGGCAGCATGATCGAGACCAGGCGCATAATCGCCGACAAGACCTACGGCAACATGCTCCACATCGAATACAGGTCAGTCAGTCAATCTGGCGAGGAACGAACGACAGCTGAGTGGGTGCGATGCGTGTGCACATGGCTGTGTTGTCTTGTGTGTTGTGGTTTGTGTGTATGGTTGTCTACAGGCTGCGTCCGAAGAATGGCGGCAAGGACATAGTGGTGCAGCGCTACCTGAAGCAAGAGGGCGTCAAGACGCCGAAGGCCAAGAGGCACGAATCCATCCAGTGATTTTATCTGGTCAGCTGCTGAGGCGGGAAATGGGGGGAGGGGTGCATCGACTGTGTTTTGACCTGAGTCGCATCTTTTCTCTTCCACTTCGTCATGACGATTCGCGACGGCCAACAGAGGGATGCCAGCAACCATCTCTCCTTTGGTGTCGCAGGCCTTCTTGACGGTGTTGATGGGACACATGCGACGTACGTGGTGCCTGGTGATGCGTGTGCGCAGTGCATTGAGGGCAAATGCTGTCTGATGCATGCTTTGAGGGATGGGTGCTCTCCCTGTGCCGTGTTTATGCAGCCATTGGAGTGCCTTTGTCGATTCGTTTCTTGTGTTGTGCAGTCAGACCTAGTTACGTTTACTGCTTTCACGTGGCGTGGCGTCTTGATGCCTGCGTGGGCGGGGATGTGAGTCTCTGTGCGTGTGGGTACATCCTCTGCTGTCTGTGCTTTTTTACTAGAGAGCGTAGAGTGGTGAAATGATTGTTCGTGTATGCCTTTGTGAGATGACGATGAGACACGGACGTCAGCGGATAGATCGATTAAAGTCACTGGTGCTTTCGTTCACTCGAGCCCTTCGCCATAGTCCATCATATATCCGTGTGAACAAACACCACTGTGCCCTCCGTACCCCACCACACGCAATTCAACTCACACACATGGTTCAAACAAACAACATTCTCATGAATATTTCGTCCACGTCCCGCAGCAGTGACAGGGGCCAGACATGGAATGTACATCGGCTGTGCAGGCAGGGGAGAGAGCGATCGTGTCGTCGCTCCTCCGAGCCGGCCAGCCGATCGATCTTTCTTTGTACACGCACACCCCTCACGCACAGACATGCAGTGGTTCCACCCCCAACACGGCTGACATCCGTGCATCCAAAAAGCGATGAGATGTCTGTCGGCGTGCCAATCAGTGCCCCAGCATGCAGTATCACCCTCGCCATGCCATGCCCCTCCCCAGTCCTGGTGTGCAGTGGTCTACGTGTGCATGTACCCACCAGCTGTTCCATCCATGTGGCGCCTCATGATCCGTCGCATGAACCCCCTGACGTTGCTCCACTCCAAATACCCGCCCTCCATCTCCCGCCCTCCCCCAGTGAATGCCGTCCGCCCATGCAGCACTCTGTGGTTGTCGAACACGGTGATCTCCCCCGCACCCATGGCGATGTGGTGCGTGTGTGAAGGGTCACTCACGAGCCGCCTGAAGGTCCGAATGGCCGAGTAGAAGGCGTCCATCTGTGGCGTGGTGACGGCCCAGGCCAGGAGTGAGTATCTGGCGGCCTCGTTGAAAGTGATCCTCTTGATGATGCGGTGCTCCACGGCAATGGTGCTGTGCTCTGAAAGGACAGCAGGTAGACAATCAATGAAGGGCGCCGCTCATGGATGAGGTGCTGTCGCCCTCTCGGCTGATTGGTACCTGCCATGAGGTCCCATTCGTGGTGCTCGGGCACGTCACGGAAGGGCACCTGAACAGCACACAGAGTTGTAGTGTATGTGCTCGCCAATCGCTGCAGCGCAGTGGTCGGGCACGCCTACCTTGACTTGCGTGAGGGTCTCGAACTCCTCCGGGTGTTCTCGGCGCATCTTCTCCGCCACATAGAAGCCATCAACGTAGGTCGACAGACCACCGCCCTGTGCACATGCACGCAGATACACACGACGTCGACACACGGACAGCGATGCATGAGTGGTCTGTGCAGTGTGATCACCTGCTGAGCAGGGCTGCGGCAGTGGAAGAGGAACACACCCGGCGGCGAGTCAAGGTAGGGCAGGTCGGTGTGCGGCGGCAGCGCTAGACTTGTGTAAGCCTGGTTGTCTGGTGCACGGTTGGCCGTCACGTGAAAGGTCTCGCCATACACTGTGGGCCGGACCATGCCGCCAAGACGCTCAGCCAGAGTCTTGACCGCCCCCGCTGTCCTGGGCGCGTTGAAGACCCTCACGAGGCCGTTCCTCTCCAGCTGCTCATAGAGGGCGAGCAGGTGGGCGTCGTCATGCAGAGTGGTCGTGTAGTCGATGGGGTCTGCTGCCTGTGGGGTGTGTTGCCAGAGGGTCTTTGCGATTCTTGTGGGCAGCAAGGGCGGGGTCAGGTCGATGGGAAGGATGCCATGGTGACCTGCAGCAATCGACGTACGCGCATCAGCCTGCTTATCCATCCGTGTGCGTGTGGTCTCTTTTATGTTCCTTCCTTACCGTCTGAGAATGTCAGCTCCACCCACACCTCATGACCAGTCCCGGGCACGGCCGGCAGGGGACGGATGGACTCGACCTTGACGCCTTGGCCGATCTCCACGCCCTTTCTCTGATGCGCCAGGCCGATGTAGCACTCAGAGCATCGACAGTTTTCCCGCAGTTGCTCGTGGGAGAGTGATACGGACGAATCTTCAGCGCCAGCTGGAAATATCTTCACATGGTCGCCGCCAACGGCAAATCGCAGATTCGCAGGTGGCGTAGCCGACGCCGTCTGTCTGACGGATGCCGCTGCAGCGCTCGAGAAGCGTCGATTCGGCAGACTGCAGCGCGGCAATGTCGAGGCGATGTGCGGCAACCAAGCAGGCCTGATGTGACGCGCTCTTGCCATCCTCTCCCTTCCACCTGCGAGCTCAGCGAATTCGCGAGCTTAGAGAAAGAGGAAACAGCAGGGAAGCAGACAGGCACGACAGGCACGACACTACGCCACGAGACCGTCGGGAAATCGAAACTGTTTGTTTGGCGAAAGAAGATGCACGGCCAGGCCTTGCAATATAGTCGGCTCCCCGCAGACCACAGCCTTGCACTGCCATGGGCCTACTCACATCACTGGGGTGCCCCCCCCAGCACAGCGAGCGGCTACGACAGCGCCCCTGATCAGTTGGCAGCCCTGGATGACCGCATTCGGCAGCTGACAAACGACACCAGGTCTCTGAAGGCAACTGTCCTGCGCAAGCGGCTCGACGAGGAACTGGTGCAGCTGCAGGCGATGAGGCATGAGCTGAGGGCGCGGGTCAAGGAGTGGCAGGTCAGGATGGCAGCTGAGGGGCGGCTGGAGGGCTATGCTGTGGGTGAGGTGACCGGCAAGTGGGTGGGGGAGGGTGTGTTGGGCGTGGTGGTCGAGCGGGGCATCCGGCTGCCCGTCATGGAGTGGGACGGCACATGCAATCCTTATGTAGAGGTACGTCAGGCAGACCAACCAACCAACCGCACACACAACCCAATACAGAATCAATGAGGTGATTTCCGATGTTGTGCCATGCCATTTCAGGTGCGCTTAGTGCAAGTACCGCCTCGGCCAGACCATCCGGCGTTCAACCTGGCCCGCCAAACAGTCACCAACAGCACCAGGAGGACAGACTACAGGCCCTCCACCATCAACCCGCAGTGGCACGAGCACCTCTTCTTTCATTTGGCCGACCTCCCCGTCCACCCAACGTCACTCTTCATCCACTTCAGAGTCATGCATTACGACCCGAACGCGGCCGCATGCCCTGTGGGCGAGGTGTGGCTGCCCCTGAAAATAGTCATGGACCCTTTCTATCAGCATGGGGGGAGCCTTCCCGAGGCACTGTCCCTCCGGCCCCCGCCGGACAGCGGCAGCTATGACCATGACGGCTACGCTTATGTGCAGGAGGGCAAGAGGCGGCCGCCTCTCTACATCAGCGACTCTCGGCTGCACGTCAAGGTCTCCTTCTCGCCGGACGCTCTAATGCCGTCAGAAAGGGAGAAGAACGAACAGAAGCTGATCGATCGCTTTGGTCCTGAGCGGGTGGCGCGTTTGCCCCGACTGCCTCAGACAAGGGAGACCAAGCAGGGCAAAGCTGGCGGGCTGTATGGGGCCTTTTGGTCGCTGTTTTGCGCGTGTGAAGACCCTGAGGTGTCGGCGGATGAGAGCAGCGTGCAGGAGCTCCCGGTGGGGATGCCTGTCAACGCAGATGTGGGCGGGAAGGTTGAGGCCATCGGTGGCGGCGATTATGAAACCGAAGAGGCGCACCACTTCCATCGCATCAAGTGTGGAGGGGTGAGGAAGGCAACACACACATAGCCAGAGCAGTACACATTGCGTCCGATGCGTCTGTGTGTGTCCATCCAGGCTGCTGGTTCCCCGGTTTCATGTGAGAACGCCTTACCTCTGGCCTATTGCCGTCCCAAGAGTCCCTCCCAGTGGCCAGTGTGCGCCAAGCTCAAGGCACGAGGCGAGACGACGCCACCCACTCTGTCGCCAGCGTCACAGCAACCGGTCAGTCAGCACACACACCTTCCGGTGCAAAGGGACAAATGCATCTGTCTCCGCTTGTGTGTGGTGGTGCTGTGTTGGACAGGAGGAAGCTGCCTCTCGGGCGTCGCCGCAGACGACCTTGTCTCCCGATCTCCACGAGAGGCCAGCTGAGCCCGTCGGGCTCCCCCCATCCACTCCATCCAGCCCTCCCGCTGCCGAGCCCGCCAAGCCCACAGGAAAAGAGACGTCGTCGTCTGCACCGACGGCCGCGCAGCGTGTGAGCGATGACGTGACAGTCCGAGTGCGAATTGTCGAGGCGATGCATCTGCCCAAGACTGACTGGCTAGGCAAAAGTGACCCTTACGTGGAGATTCGCGTCGTGGGGGTGAGCGAGCAGGAAAGTGTGTGTGGGTGGACATGTAGGTGTGCGTGTGTGATGTATATTCCCTCATCAATCAGCCTGGCAAGGCGCCTTCACTTCATGGTGGCTATCGGGGCAAACAGGAGGAGGACGAGGCAACGACAATGGATGTGAGATGGATCGGTGAATGGCACAAACGAACGGCCGGCTTACTGTGCGTCCGCACGTGTGTCGTCTCGTCAGGGCTGTGTGGCCAAGACGACAGTGCGGTACAACACACTGCAGCCAAGATGGGAGGAGGAGCTCGTGCTGCCCGTTAAAGCCGTACGGATGACACACACGACGCCGCACGGCCCCACACACTGCATGTGTCATGTGTGCCTTGTGCTGTCCATCCATCCATCAATTAATCAGGCGCGTCTGCGTCGTGTTGGGGCAGCCGACGTGAAGGATCTCGTGCTCCGCTTCACTCTGATGGACTATGAGATGCTGCGAGCACACCAACCAATCGGTCAGCAAGGCGGCACCACATGACAGACGTGAGAATCTCATGTCTGTCTGTCTGTCTGTCTGTCACAGGCAAGGTGGAAGTGCCCCTCGCTGACGTGTTGCGTCGTCCCCAGGCCATGTTGGGTCGGCATCTGCGGTTCACGGCTGTGGACTTCGACCCAACGAGGCCCCCAGTGGACCTCACCCGGACCGTTCTCGTGGTGGACATGGAGATCGATTGACACAGGGGTCATGCGTACCTGGCTGGCTGAAGCGTATATGGATGGACAGGGAGGGGGCGGAGACTGCATTGTGCTGCGTGTGTGGATATGGATGGCTTGAGTGATTGATGCAGCCCTGCCTGAGTTTTCGTATAGACGGCTTTTTCTCATCTGCCATGCGTTGTCTGGACGAAAGGGCACTGCCGCAGACTATTTCTTATGTCATGACTGGGCGCCCAGCCACCTTGTGTAAACAGCGTTGCGTACAGACTGTGTGATTTCGGTCCTGCGTCTTCGTGAGGTGCAGTGCACCATGCGTAAAACAGAGCAGTGGCACAGGCGCACTATATATGTAGACCGTGATAGTCCTCGCGAGGAGACGAGAATTCTCGACGGCCGAGACGGGACGAAAAATGTGCTTTCAACTGTCGTTCGAATTCCCAATGCCTGCCAAGAAGATTGAAGGGCCGACACGACCTCCAGGAGCTCCTCGATGATATCATTGACGTCAACCCGCCTCAGGCCGCAGCCAGCCCTACTGCAAGGGCGGCAAGACCAAGAAAGCCAAACAGCAGGCGACTAACCAGCTGCAGCTCACGATTCAGCGGCAGAATGCCGCCGAGCGAGAAGCCGTATTCGGCAATGGCGGGACGGCGAAGCTCCAGGCCATGATGCCCGACTACAGTGAGGCGGCGTTCAAGAACAACCTGACGGTGGCACAGCACCCCTCCATCATTCCCGCACACAAGAGCTGCGTAAGGGAGCAACTCGCGGCGGCGCGCCGAGAGGGACCAGCGCCTCGCCAAGGTCAGTGAGTGCAGAGCACCTGCAGGTGTCCTCCGAGCGGCGTCCCCGACCGATTCCGTCCGTTCCTGTCGGTCTGTGTGTCCGCATTGCAGGAGGCGGCCGAACGGCTGCAGCCAAGGGTGTTTTTCGGGGGCGGTTTGTTATCGCTGCGTGCATATTATATTGTGAAGTCTCTTCGGCAATCAGCTACAGACGGGTGAGCTCGAGATAGGCCGTATCCATCCATCCATGCATCGCCTCAAGTCCACGAATGACCCTCCTTCTCTCTATGGACTGACTGTGTGGTCCTCAGGTTCGCAGTCGGTTGCACAGTCGTGGTACACAGCACAGACAGACCACAATGACGCGCACACCGACGGACACACAAATATGTGTGTGTGTGTGTGTGTGTATGTTGCAGGAGGCCTCATGCGCCTTGCTGGCTCAAGCGGCTCCCGTACTCACCGAAGGCGTAAGTGACCGGCACCGTGACACACACACATACCATGACGCGCACACCATGACACCCACAGCAACTCACATGTGTGTGTGTGTGTGTTTCGTGTGTGCAGTTGCGGCGAAGAACAAGAGCATCACCATCGACTTGATAGGTGTTCAATGAGCCTTGAGGGGCGGGCCGCAGACGTCATGTGTGAGCTGTGTGTGTTGACGCATGTATGTGCAGACGAGAACGTGGTGTGATGTCGAAGGGCGTCGATGGGCACGTCGAGGCCGCCGTCGATGCGCTCAACGACGACCGCCACGTCAAGGCGGCCGTGGATGCGCTCAAGGACTACTCGAGGGTGTGCCAGAGGGTGAGTAACGAACCCAACGCCCACCACACACACACACGCAACCTACCCATATGCACTTGTGGACGGCGCCATCCTCTCTCTGTGTTTGTGTGCGTGTGCTGCCTGTAGGTCACCACTGAGATGCCTAAGTGAGTGAGTGAGCAGCCACCCCACAGCTAGGAGAACGGAACACACAACACACACACGTGTCTGCTCTGCCGCTGTCGCCATATGGCCATGTGTGTACGTACAGGTTTGCTGCCGAGGTGGAGGATCTGATGCAGACAGCCCAGCAGATGGCCGAGAACGAGGTCAAGGAACGCGGTGGCGCCACCACTGCACTGCTCACGGAGCCGGTGAGCACTCACCCACCCAGTCACCCACCCCTCACACACACATACGGCCGGCCGACACTCGCGGGCGTGTGGATGGCTATTGGTGCATTTGTGTCTGTGTATGTGTCTGTGTATGTGTCTGTGTATGTGTGTTTGTGTGTGTGTATGTGTGTTTGTGTGGTGCAGCTTTGTTCCGTCGTATCCAACTTGGGCGTCATGAAGAAAATACTCGCCGCCACAAACACGACTGCAGAGCAGGCCAGCAAAGGAGCCGAGGAGCTCAAGGTGAGCATCAGCTGTCACACAACATCACACACAGCCAGGAGTTGGGTCGACAGCGGCCATGCATCTCTCTCTCTCTCTCTCTCTGTCCGTCCGTCCGTCCGTCTGTCTGTCTGTCTGCATGTGTGTGTGTGTCAGGAATGCATCACGGATATGCTCAACACCTGGGGGGAGACGTATAGGAACACACACGGAGATGCCCCTCACTACACAGAATCCACATCACACGTCACACACATCACACGCGTGACACACATCACCTGGTTTTTCCGAGATATGTACTGTGGGCTAGAACGCTTGGAGGGCACCCGAACTGGCGCAAATCTGCCTGCCCTTTGGTCGTGTCTTCGCGCTACTGCAGCTCGTGTGCCATGCGGGCGCCTGGGTCGCACAGCCATCCCTCGGCGGATTGCACCACAAGAAGATGATGGGCATGAAACCGTCGGCGTTCATCATTCCGCGTCAGATCCACAGTAAGCAAAGCAGTCAGTGCGTCAGGTTGGAAAGAAGCATACATGTGTCTGTGTCTGTGTCTGTATCTGTATCTGTGTCTGTGTCTGTATCTGTGTCTGTGTGTCTCTCTCTCTCTCTCTCTGTGTGTGTGTGTGTGTGTGTGTCTGTCTCTCTCTCCTGCCAGTCCAGCAGGAGATTCGTGCGCACCCGGCGAGGATCGAGTACAACAACCACGCAGCCAACCGTGCGAACCCTGAACTCATGCGCCGCGGCGGTGAGATCGAGCAACCCGGCCACGTGCAGCAGCACAACGGCCGTCCGCATGGTCGCCAAGATGGTAAACGCAGATCAGAGCACCGCACGCAGACAGTCACACCCACAGACACACCCACAGAGAGAGAGAGAGACAGACGACGCCGGCCATGTTGTGTGTGTGTGGGGGGGGGGGGGG